TGCGTTCCCATCACCCTTTCACATCTCTTGTGAGAAAAATCATGTTCCCTCACTGCATGCGTTTTTTGTCCCTCCCTTCTATTTCTCAAGCCACAGCCTCCAGAGAAAAAACCCAATAGTTTTGATATTTTTCTGCCCTCTATCTAACTGTCCAACATTGTTTTTACAATTCAGACAGCCAAAGGGTGGGCTGTGTTCCAGTCTGTCTCACCAGCCTGTGTACACACTAAGATCATCTCCCCATTTTAATACTTCTCTGGTTTTGCAATCCAAGACTCCTGTCTGTTCTAGCATTGCCCTGGGAGTTCACACTGCATTGTTTGTCTGCTTCTAGCTTTTGAGTCCTCCAGGGTTACAACTTTCCAGGAAATATGATGTCCCTTGGGGTTCTTGTATAATTTTTGGGTTTTTTTAGTCCAAGCATATTCCCTGGGGGATGTTTGCACATGGAGTTCTTTTTTTTCAAGATACAAAGTATTATAATATATTTCAGATCATTGCCAGATATCACTATGCAAACACTTGAACTTACATTTTCCACACAGAGCAAATGTTTGTAAAAGGATAAGGACAAAAACTAATGGAAAAATTCTATCTTTACCAATTGGATATTTCTCAATATTTAGGGTTGTAAAGTGCAGAGAAAACTTGTATTTTTCTCACTAGACTAGGAAATAAACCTCATGGATAACACAGTATTCTCAGGATTTCAACTCAACAATATTTTTAGAAAATGGTCTGATTGGGTAAGTACATATCAGCATAGAATCTGATCAGGACACTGATAAATTGAATCAATATTTCTAATCTGAATGAATGGTGTGCATGTTTCTTTTCTCTGCAAATCTGGCTTTTCCATCCTTTTTCATGCAGTCCAAGTCAGAAAAAGGAAAGGTACGGGATTTCTTGGTGCCGTAAATAAAATATGATGGTAGAAAACCAAAGTGAAGCTGTGCAAGACAGTGGGCTGGAAAATCAACAAGGGCTGGAAATGGAAAGTGAGATTAAAGGTAACACCTAGCCACAAGACTATCCTTAGCAGCTTTTGAATAGTATGCAGCTAAATAAACACACATGCAAAGCTTACTTTGTAATGTGCCTTGCTCTCACTTTTAACAGCAGATGATTGCTATTTACTCAAGGGTAGTGAACCACAGGAAGCTGGCCTTTTTTAGCACTCTTGCCCTGGAAAAGAACTGTGTGAAGGCAACTCAATATAAACTCCCTTCCTTCCTTCCCAGCTCCCCACCCACAGCTGTGCCTTTTTTTCCTTGGCTGTGTATCTGAGCATCTCCAGTTGAGAAAAATGAAGAGCACTCCCAGCTATGGAGTGGTTTTTGCTGGTGATGCTGAGAGTTTGTGCTTCATAAGAGAGTCAGGGAGTGCAGTGATGCAAACCTGCCTGACCTGGGGTGACAGAAGTTCAAGAACCTTGACTGAAATAGGAACTTCTACATGCTCATCTCCTATATACAAGAAGGTGAATGATGAAGCCATTTGCAATCTCAGGAAATTTAGGATATTGTGAACACCTTTAACCAGATTCTGACTGTGCAAGTGGTAACTGCTTAATGCCATGAGTTATGTTATTACAGCACTGTGGAGTGCAATTGCTAATAGGTGTTGACACTTGCCATAACGAAGTTTTATGTGAAGGAAAACATAAATCTTGTATTTGGGCATCCTGTGCATATGGAAACATGAACAATGAAGTGCTGAGGTCAGTGATAAAGGCAAAGATCTTCTTTTTATCCCAAAGAAAATGACTTTGGAAATAATTTAGAAGTGAAGAAAGTGAAAGATGTAACTGAAAAAGAACTGTTTTGCTAAAAAAGCTATTCAAACATACACTTGATATTTGGCTAAGGAAATGGGATCCAAACTGTATATTCAGCTGGCTTAAGCTATGCTCATTCACTTTGTCCTGGTGATTTTTGGTTAAGATATTCTGCTTTACAGGCAGGCTAGCAGTACAACTCAGTAGCAGCAAAAAATTGTTAAATTTTAATTGATGTTAATAACAATTCAGTGCTTTTTCAGATGCCAGGAAATCAGCTTAGATTGTGGTTTCTTTTTAACATCTGCAGATTTTGGTGTCAAAACAGAAAATATCTGAAGCTATTTCAGTTTTTCAAAGTAGAAAGACAATTCTCCCAGACAAGTGTACATTTCAGGCGAATTTTTCAGTGGGGCTGAATTTGCTGTCTGTGTGTCACTGGCTGGCATTTCCCTTGCTGCAGATGAAATCCATGTCGCATGTCAGGAGGTGAAGCACTGCTCATGGTGTGTGGGATGGCCCTGGGGCAGGTTTGCTCAGCTTGCAGAGCCCTGGGAGAGCAGGCTGAGCTGCTGCCCTGTAGAGAGCAGCAGGCATCGACCCACACAAACAGATTTGCTCTGTTGGGTGGGTTTGTCAGAGCCTGCAGCTGTGGCCAGGCTGCTCACAGCACCCAATATTGCTAATTTAAAGAGAGCTTGATGGGCCTACATTGATTTCAGTCACAGTAGTGACTTTCTTTCCATGAATAAGCAACCTCTAGACAGACTAATTGATTACATATATCTTTGTTCAGTGTGCTGTGCTTCTTGCCTTTTCTTACTGTTCTTGCCTTTTCTTGCTGTTCATCCTTAGGAATTTAAATACTAAAGGACACGTAAAATCCATATGTATTGTGAGCTAAATAAGAAGCAAATTTCTAAATCTTGTGTTTGGATTTTATCCTAGTTAATGTAATTTTATATTATATCCACATAACTAGTGGATGTGCACTGCTCATATCCACTAGTTAATACATGTGGATGTGAGCAGTGCTTCAGTTTTGTGCTTCTAAATCTTTCTGAAGAATTGAAGTTAAGGCTGGGAAACCTCCATAGCCTAAAGACCATCCATGGATCTCACCCCCTATTTCAGTGTCCACAGGATTCAAGCATCTTATTGAGTCTTTCATATTTGATCACTGGATTTTATGTTATCAGAACCGAGAATTGTCTTCATAAAAGAATTCTGAGCAAGCTGACAGCATCTACCCCATCTCACTCTTTGCAGTAGTGAGGTAGTGTAGATGTCACATTAATGAGATGGTTTGATGGGTAAACACCAGGTCTGATTTTAACACAATTTGATGCAGTTTTATCTGAAGAGTTGATTTTATTGGCTCTTATAATCTGTTTCTCTCTTGAGCTTTAGCCATTGGATTTTATTAGCTTCAAAATTTCATGGTTGTACAGCTCACTGGCAAAGAGAGAAATTATTGTAATGGCTTTAATGGGAGGGTAGTTTTTCATCCTTAGTTTTATGGAGAATTCATTTATCATTTCTTTCAAATGCCATTTTGAAAATGTGAGCAGGTCTGATTATGCTGCTATGAATTGTACACACTGAACATATATATAGGTGATTTGTATTACATTGTATTTAACTATTTGGGAAATATTTGAGGATTTGAAACCAAACCTATCCTCTCCAGAAGTATTTTTATAGAAAAATCTTATTCATAACTAAGACAGAATAATCTCATTAAATCTCTTAAGGGTCTAAGCAAAAGAATTGTGCAATGGGGTTTTTTGTTTGTTTGTTTAAGGAGAAAAGGGGTCGGAGGGAGAGAAAAGTTGCATTGCTCATCACTGTGGTATTCCTTGAGTAAAATAAAGTAATAAACAGTTTGAGGTCTGTATTATGAGTGCTTATTATTATAAGCACTCCTGAGTGCTTATATGAGCACAGGTGGGGAATATCTAAGAGGTGCAGCATGGCTGGTTCCTCAGGGGGCTAGGGAAATTTTGGGAAATAAATGCCTTAAGATCCTGCCTCAAGCAGTGAGCTCCTAATACTGAGAGAAGCTGTGCAAACCCAGGCTGTTCTGAGCTGAAGAACCCAGCAGTCACACCCAACTTCTGCCCCCATGGAGAGGAGGCATTGTGGGGTGGAAGGAGCAGGGCTGGAGAGTGAGTGCCTGCCTCTGTTTGCAGGAGGGTGCTGCTTTGGATGGCAGTGCCACCACCCCTTCAGTACTCTGCATGTCCCCAGCCAGACCTGGTAGAGGAATAACATTGCCTTGACCCTGATCCAGCTCTGTGTGGGAGCTGTTTGGTCTCACCATGGCTGGTTTTATGGAACCTCAGTCGTTCTCTGCATTCACAAGCCTCTGGGACTCTTGTTTTCTTTGTTCCCCCTTTTGTGTGGAGCACACTTCTCTGCACACTTGCACTGTGCTGCCTCTGCTCATTTGAAACCCAGAGCCTGGGGTGGTGCTGTGCTGCTGGGAAGGGAGTCTTGAATTTTTCAAGGCTTTTTAGCTCTGGCTGAGCACGTAACGGGAGGGACTTGATGCCAGCAAAGCCACTCCTTCCAGTGGTCCCACTAACATTAAGGGAAGGTTCTGCAGGACCTACTTGGGTCTTGCAAAACCAGACGAGGTCCAACAGAGTTTGCCAGCCCTGTTCCTGTGCTGTGCTCAGGAGTTACCTGCTTCTCCTGGCCATGGAAATGCTTGTGCTGTGCAGCACCTGAGCACAGAGCTCTTGAAGCTCAGCTGCCTCTGCATTCATCCACAGTACTTTGTGTCTGCAGCTGCATTGTGGCTGATTTACAGCTTGTTCCTGGGATCCTGTAACCTTCTCCATTAGGTCCTGATTTCATAATGTACCAGCACCTGAAGCTGAGCCACTTGAAAAAATTCCTGACTCCCTGCTCTGTGTGTTGGTTCCCACCCCACGACTGCCTGTCACCTCAGTTTGCTGAGGGTAGCTGGTTGTGAGGATGAGTAAAAAGCTGCATCTGTCATTTGGCTTTATATCAGTTCTCTTTAAAATAAATAAATAAAAAACCCTTCTCTGTTGGGGGTTGAAAAAAGTTCAATTGTGTCTATGCTACTGCTTAAGAAAGTACACATGGAGCCTCATACTAAATCAAATAAATCCTATGATTAAAGCCAATGCTGAAACAGGCAAACAATGTCTACATCTTCCAAAGTATTGAAAAAATGACTTGTTTTTTTCAGCATTGTTAGAGAAACCCATCAGCAAAAGACGAGACAGTGAAGCTGTACAGAAGGCCAAGATCCTTTATGCATCCTGCATGAATGAGGGTAAGTAGATTGATTTGAGGAGGGCATAGATGCATTCCCTGCATTTATAAAGGCAGGCTTTTTGTCTCTCTGCAGAGCTCTGTGAAGCTTTGTGCAGCTGCATTGATTTTGCTGATATGGATTCAGCTGGGGTTGAGGGTCTTTTGCACATTTAAAGCTGTGAATTGAGACTGAGGTACACTGAGGCACAAGTCAGTTTTAGAGAAACCCCTGCTTGTCAGAAGTATGAAGAGATATTTATCTGTGCAAAAGGATGTTAAACTGTGCCCCAGGCTTGTGGGGTTAGTGCCTGGGGTTATTAAATCAGAAGAACCCTCTGATGAAATTCTCATGTTTTCAAGAGCCTGTTGCTCATCACCTTCTACATTTCTCTAAATCTGCTTAATCAAAACACTACCCCAGGGCTGGGTGTAGACAGCCCTGGACCCTTTAGCTTTGGTATCTGCATGTCAAGCAAGTTAGCCATGTTTGCAGAGTACTTTTCCTCAGCTTGTAATGCTGCTGTAAGGTAATGTTCACTAATTTGGGACACATCACTACTCTAAGGTAGCTGCACAGGTGAAAGAAGGCTTTGAAGTCCCCTTTGTCCTTCTGACTCTTTCAGGATTTATTTTCTGCACAGTTTTCTTCCAGCATGGCCTGTCTGACTGCAAGTAAGATAGCTTGCTCTACAGCTTTGGTGCCCAGATATTGACTCTCTAGCTTTGATTATGAGCAATAACCCCCCAAATTTCCCTAAAACGAGTCAAATTTCTATGCTAGTTCCTAAGAAAGGTGCGGTTTTTTTTTTAAATTTACCAAATTCCAGCCTTTGCCTTTTTAGAAAGGCACTAACTTGCTTCTCTTATTCTTAATACAGATAAACAGGATTGGACTTCTATGCTGCTGTGCTCACAGGCAGAGCAAAGGCTTTTGAGTTTCAGCTATTGTAATTGCCTTGCCTGGAAATCAATTGGTGCCAATAAATCTTTGTCTTGTGTGGCTGCTGCTGGACATGAATTGTCTGGAATGTAATTGTTGTCGCACTTTGACATTTCAGATAAAATTGAAAAAGCCGATGTGAAACCCCTGTTAAGTATCTTGAAGCATTCACCCTTCCGCTGGCCTGTGCTGGAATCCAACATTGGACCTGAAGGGCTGTGGTCAGAGAGGAGGTTCAGCCTGGTCCAAGCCTTGGCAGCTCTGCGTGGCCAATACAGCAGCTCTGTCTTCATCCGTCTGTATGTGGGTGCTGATGACAAAATCTCCCACCGCTACATCCTGAAGGTACAGCACAGCATCTCTGATAGGTTACTTTGCATGCTGCATTATGGTCTCTTTATTTAAAAACATGTTTACATACCAAGGGTTTACATTTGATTGTTGTTGTTATTATCTACTGGCTTACAGATGTATGTAGGTGCCTGTTTAAGGGAGTGTAGAAGCCACTAGCAGCCACTTGCTATTGGAAAGTATTTTTGTGCAGGTTTTCTTATTTCAAATGGAAAAAAACCCCATAAAAATGTCCCAGTAGACCAATAGCCAGGGTCTATGTGCATGAGAATAAGAACTCAATATCTAATTCTGTGTGCTGCTTATGACTCATTGGCTGCATGAAGAAGGCTTTTTGTCTGTGAGGATGAAAAATGGTCCATCAGTAGCAGATATTTTGAACTTGAGCTGTTTTTCTTGAGATGGAAACACTTAATCTGGTGTTTATACAGCACCTTACAACACAGATTTATCCCAAGTGCTTTTAAATGTAAAATAAGAGAATTCACATTTTTCCTGAAATGCTTTTAGACCTGAAATTGCTTTTAGACCAAAACATTACTGAACTCTTAACAGTGCATGGCATTAAATAACAGTTTACTAAGAAAAAGACTCAAGAAATGTTGCCTCCCTAGAGTCTAACAAAACTCCAGATAAAATTGTATAACTGTGGCAAAACTGAGCTCCAGATAAAATTGTATAACTGTGGCAAGACTGAGTGCCTGGGCCAAATGCATTGTTGTTTAAGAGCTTCAGATGAGAAGCCAGAGCCGACTTTCCCTCCATGGCTACAAGAAAATAGTTCATGAAACAAGACAGAAGGAACAAATAAGAAAGTTATGATGGCATTCATCACAGCAAGAAAAGGATTTAAGATCCTTATTTTGCTGGCATCTTGGCTAGCTGTAGGAATGTAGCCAAGAATACATTGCACTTAGGGACTGTGGTGGTACTGGAGTGGATGTCAGTTCTAAGTCAGTTCTTCATTATGTCTTTTGACTGAGACATTTAACTGGCATAAAGTTAAAGGGTAGCTTTCCCTCATCTCTAGGATCTTTTCCAGGATAATCAACAGCAGATCAACAGTTTGCTGTATTAAAGGTGTCATTCTGCTATGATGCTGTTTAGATCCTGTCAGGTTTTCTTCAGCTGGAGACTCACTCAAAAGAACTGAAGCTGTAGAGTCAGAGAGATGTTTATCCAAGTGTCTCCTGTCATAATATTTCAGTTCAAGTCACCTGGCAGCAAATGGCTGGCCAGGGACACCCTCACTGCTGGTCTCTTGGAAACGATTTACAAGCAGCAGCACCTTCACTCTCTGTGCTTAGGGGCACCTAGGAATTTAATATCTAACTGAAGCACGACATACTGTGAGTGGCGCATTATTCTGTAGGGTGTTCTGATCTTAGTTTGATTAGGACCTTGATCTGCAGAATGCATCAACCAGTGCTCTACTTTGTCCATGTTTTAACAAATTCCCTCGAGTGTAGATGTACCACACAGTATTTCAATCTGCTTGAAAAATGGCTTTATTGCAAAATGCTTTTTGTTCACCATTGCAAAATCATCAATGGGTCATAAAAGAAGTGGAAACTCCAAATAAAACTTTGTTCAGCATTCAACATGATCTTTTTTCTTTTTTTTTTTCATGAGTGCTGATGCTGTTGGTTAACATTTTTTGTTTATTTCTCATATTTGTGCTCTCTTGGTTTAATGTGCTGTCAAATCTAATTCTTAAAACCAGGGAATTTGAATGAGCATTTACTGTAACAGTCACATTATTGAAATTCCCCAAATAATCAGGAGTTAACTATTGCAAAGACACATGTACAAAAAACCTAAAAGTATATTTTTTTTTGCACCATTGTGCTGAGAAAAGAAAGTTATGATTTTTTTCAAAGAAGGAGGATTGCACTGATCATGACAATTACTCCTTTCTGAGGATGGTTTGCTTTGTAGAGGAAAAGATTACATTTATTCATTCACTTTAAGTTCTACGTTTTATTTATTTTTACATGTACATTTTTTTACATAAATCACTTAACCTAAATTATTTGGATTGAAAAAGACCTATATGAATTGTATAAATAAATACAATCTATCATCACTGAACTTATCCATTAAAAATTATTGCAGCATCAAATCAAAAATGTTTAGAACATCAAAGCAGTTGTTTCTGCTCCAATCAGTATCTTAGTCAGAGTTTGGAATCTGGTTAGTGGAAGTTTTCAGCTTTGGCTTCCATACCCTAACCTAAATTGATCACATTGAAAAGTTCTGGGAAATCTCAGTTACCAGTAATTATTATAAAATATGTGCTGCGTAGTGAGTTTTTCCTGGTTAGGAAAATTCCTATGTTTCGAATGAAGCAGTATGCAAATATTCCCATGTAGATGTTTCACTCAAGACGCTAAATGCAAATCTCAAACTTTCAGGCCTAATTCCAATATTAGGGTGAATGTAGACCAGAAAATCTGACCCATGTTTAGATGGAAAAGGTAAGTGAAGGCCAGAGATCCATCTGGACTACAAGATGCCTTTAGCTGAAGTACTGGGGACATCCTGTGCATGCAATCCTGGCTGGTGTAGCCACTTCAGTTTCAGTTCATCTGTTCAAAAGACTGAGTACAGCCCCCAGTGCTGGTCTATGTGAAGCTCAAAAGTGTAACCTCAGTTGCAGTCACAAAAACCTGATGATGCCTCCCAGACAGACAGCAGCTCTCATGCTCCAGCACCTCAGGGGCATTTGGTGCATACACTGGACTGGTGTGGTCCCAAGCTGACTCTTGTACCCCTGGAATAGACATAAGATGGATGCATGGTCATCAGAACCAGGGGTTTGATCCTGTAGACCCAGTCCTTTTGCATTTCCTACTCACTGATGTAGCTGTTCTAAACACCTAAATCACACCTGTGATTCTTTTCTTAGGTGGCTTAGCCATTGCAGGGGTCATCTGAGGCTCCCCAGATCACAGTAATGTGATAACAGTAATTACCCATGAGCACAGCATAGCATTTTCCTGTTTTGAAATCTTGTCCAACTCGGACTGGTGCAGTTTTTTATATGTTAGATATTTGCACACAACTACTGTAATTGTCAGAAAAACACGAACCCTTCCAAAGCTGCTTGTCAGTTTGTCTTTGAATCTGATGAATTTACCTGTTAAATGTTACTTTGTGTTGTTTTTAACAGCTTGATCAAGCAAGCCTCTCTCTGTCATCTCGAGAGGATTACCTAGAAAATACCACAGAAGCCAAATCTGTAAGTATTGTCAGCTGGATAATAGAGCCACCATTTCCCCCTCATCTCTTTTAATTGTTGGTTTGGTTTTGTTGAGTTCCAAACTGAGAAAGGGTTGTGCTTTTTTTGGATTTGGGTTTTACAGGGTATCTAGCAGAAAACTCCACTTCTATTAAACACTCTTGCAAAGTTTCTTAAATGAAGCTTGCACTTGTATACAAGTACTTCTGTCTCATGGTGGTTACTGTATTAGTCAGCCTAAAATACTGGTGTACACTTTTACACATTGTCTAATCCATTTGTAAGAGCTGAAAGTTGTCAGTCTAATCCAGAACTGTCATTTGCGTTTCCTGAGACTTGTACTCTCTGAACCACAGCAGTTGTCTCTGTCATGCACAGTATTTTTACAGTGTTATTTCTCCTTTTTAACTTGCTTGGCACTCAAGGTAAGGAAAGCACAACCTTGGCTCTTAAGGCATGAAAGTAATATACCCATTCCTATAGCTGGGCATTTCTGGTCTGCTGCTGCAACTCTGCTCAAGAGCAAATCCTGTTGTCATTTCAGTCTTTCTCTTTCTTTACAGTACCGAGATGCCTTTTTGAAGTTCATGGTTGATACAGCAGTGCTGCTGGGTGCAAATGCCTCCCGAGCTGAATCTGATATGAAGTCAGTTCTAAAACTGGAAGTTAAAATAGCAGAGGTTGGTAATCCAATATAATCCTTTCTTGAAATGAAAAGTCATTGTATCAACAACTTTAGCAAAGGAATTTTAGAAGCAGAAGGAAAGGAACAGATCCTGATGAAGAAAGGATGAATAATATTTCTCCCTTCATTAATTGTTAAACTCTAAAATTTATTTTATGTCAGGGGAAAAACCTTAGCCAAATACCCTTGGTATTTTAAATTGTAATGTCACTGACTGTCGCTGACCAGAGGCAAGCCTGAGGGTGGCATGGCAATGTTTAAGGGATGGTGTATTAGCAAGGTCTTTTGGTCTGCCATCTCAGTGGAGGTGAGGGATGGAGATCCATATAGCAACAGAGATACAGGGGCTGTTGATGTGTTAGAAACTGTGGAAGTGCCTGAGAATGGTCCCATAGGAAATAGAGCTTCTCCTTCCAAAAAGGTGATGAGATCAATATCCCAGCTGAAGTGCATCTACACCAATTCACTGGTACCCACTGGGCAGCTGGAAAACTATGACATAACTCAAGACCTTACATGTCTTTTCCACCCTAAGTGATTCGATAATTTTGAAGCTGTGTAGAATCTGAGCTCCTGCCATGCACCTGTGTTGAGAATACACATAACCTCTGTTGTTTAAGAAGCAGACTAAAAATTAATGGGATGTTTCAGCAGACTGGACTAATTTTCTGTGTAACAGTCTAAAAGCAGTGCAAGACTTAGGTGGGATATTGGATCTTGGTGGTGAGAGGTGGTGTTTACAACAGTACCACCCTTAGCTCCTGAAGTGTTTTCATGAAGTAGTCTGGGAGAGAGGATATTTTAATTTAGGGATCAATTGAATTAAGTGAAGCTAAGCATATTTAAAACTGATACTTGGTTCTGATATTTACTTAGTGACATTTTTGCAAAGAGTTTAATTTATGCCACAGGATTATTGCAGGTTGAAGGAGTGTTTTTGCTTCTCTATATCTCTGTTTCAGTGTGGTTACTACAGGAATCCCACTCATGGGAGTGGCAAGTTCATTATAATTTCAGCCTCTACTAAAACTAGAGAGAAAGGTTGGCCTCAGTGGTCACAACCCTTTGTGGCTGGGAAACCACAAAAAGTAGGGGTACAGACTTGATGCTGCTTTGCAGAACTGCCAGCTGAGCTGAGTTTCCTTCATATTGGCAAGGAAAGGAGCTATCCCTATGAAATGCTGGTTTTCTCTTAGCAGAGAAGCCTGTTGCATGTGACAGGTGATGCAGCAGATGTCTTTTATCTGGACCCTGCTGTTGCAGTCTACAGGATGCTTGTTAATGCTGTGTTTGTAGAGAAGTGAAGGCCACCCACAATAGTAGCCAATCAGTGTTTCCATCTCTCTGCTGAAAGGGATGAAATTTTGTTAAACATCTAAGCCAAGCCCAATATTAATTTTAGTTACTTAGCATGGATGGACTAATGCACAAATATTTCCTTGTGACCCAGCACACTTGAAAAGCAGTACATATTTGTTCTCTTTATCACTGATGGGAAGATGTATCCTTAGCTCTGATAGCTCTAATGCTTTCCTTAACAAGTGTCTTACAGAGCATTAATCCACAAAGTATGTAAAGGAACTGCCATGTAAGATGACATGGATCTTGTAACAACTCTCAGCATCAGTAATGCATGTCATTATGCAACAAGCCATGCTTACATGCTTACAGGTTCTTTTAGTAAGAATAATCCTCCTAACATCTGTCCAGATATTAGGCATGAGTAAATGAACATGGATTGTTGCATAAACCTTAATAAACAGAATGATTATATAAACATCTTACTGTGATGGAAGTAGTCCTGTTTGTCACTGGAGGTTTTACTGTATCCAGTGTTCCTCTGCATTTTTCTAAGTAAACATATGTAATGGAGAATTTCTGTGCTCAGGAAGAGGCAGCAAGAATACTTTAGATATAGGAAGAAATGGCATGCTTTGAGAGATCTTGTTGTGTACAAGGAAGAGTTTCTTATTAAGTTTGAATCACTGGAGCTAGAGGGAAGGTTTTGAGGGGAAGGGAGTAAATGGCTTCAAGAACTGTGTAAAGATTTTTCAGATAAATGAAATTTGCAGAAAGGAAAAGAAAATCATTTTTTCCCCTATGGCTTGAGCAATACTAAAACCATAAACACTTACTGGAGATTTTTGTTTGGAGAAGTGCCAGCTGTCTGGTTAGTCTGGTGTCAATCTCTGTCCTTCAGACTGCCCAGCATTGCAGCCTGTTGTATAGGATTTACCTTACAGCAAGGCTGGAATTGCCATTGGGAATTTTTGTTTCTCTTGAACACTGAGAAAATTTTGAGCTATATCTTGTGCTTTCTTTGTTTTACTATTATGAACCACAGGGGTGTCTCAGAGTCTGCATGTCCTTCTCGTCAGTTGTAAAAGGACTTGCTTCATATTTAGGATTTCTTTTGCTGTATCCTTGGAGGCTGGAGAGGAACTTGAGATCCATCTCCTCTGGTCACACAGATGAGAGGCCTGGCTGGGGAACGCTTTATTCATGTCTGGGCTATATACTCAGGTTTCCTGCTATGGAAATCAGGATGATGGGGTGAAATGGGGAGAAACTTGTGTGTATCCGGCTCTTCTCCCAGGTGGAGTAAATCCCTAGGAAGAAAACATTCAAAGACATGAGATGCACTTCTAGCTATGAAGATGCACCTATCTCAGATTTGACCTGTTAAATCTGAGGTTGGCTTCTACTCGATAGGAAGGAATGTATAAATATTAATGCTCTAGGTGTACTTTTATCTTTTATGTATTAGCATGTCTTTCCTTAGCATAATCAGAGCTAAATCAGTCTAAAGTCCAAAGAAGACATGCAGCTCATTAAATTTCCCAGTAATAAGTTAAACATAAAAGGAACCATGTTCCGTTTCTTCCACTTAAATGCAATCCTCAGAAACAGAGGTTAATGCCATAAATGCTTGGAAAACAGGTGGTGAGATATTTCTGCACCAGGATTATGAAGGATGGTAATGATGTAAGAGCCCCTGCAAGATAATGGTTTGATGGTTTTGTGCATTTTTTTCTCTTCACTAGATCATGATTCCATACGAAAACCGGACAAGTGAGGTGATGTACAATAAAATGAACATATCAGAGCTTAGTGCCATGATTCCACAGGTTGGTTGGGGAGAACTGAAAATTTTTTTTAATCTGATCTGTATAACTAAAACTGTCGTTAGTGTTCAGAGCAGCATGTTAAAGAAGTATCATTAGGAATGTGTGTGCTCATTTGCAGAGTATGTTCTCTTAAATATAGTTCCAACTTTAATGAGAATTGAAAACATATGTAATGACAAAGTGTAATAGTTTCTAAGTTTTTAATAAGTAAAGCATTGAAATGATTAGTTTTAAAGGTGTAACTTAGTTAATAAATCATCTCTCTTCCATAATTTGCTTTAACCAGCCTTCTCTTTGTCATTGCAGTTTGACTGGCTGGGATACATCAAGAAGGTGATTGACACCAAACTCTATCCTGAGCTTAAAGATATAGGTCCTTCAGAAAATGTGATTGTCCGTGTTCCCCAATACTTCAAAGATTTATTCAGGATACTAGAAAATGAAAGGAAAAAGTAAGGATCTTATGATGGTTTCACTCACACTTGTAAGGGGATATCAAATGCCTTTTCTATTTTTTTTCCCATGAGTTTCAGCTATTCTTGGAATCAAGTCTCTAGGCAAACAGTCTGTTTGGATTTGTCTGAATGAGGATTTAGATATTACCCTGTGCACAGCAAGAGAATTTTCAGTTTCAACACATTTCTTCTATGGTTAACACATGTTGCAGTAAAGCTGCTCTTTCCAGAAGCATTCAGCATCTCTTACTTTTATAGGGTCTTGTATCTTGTGAAATCCTTTACACCTGTAGAACAGTTGTAAAATGCAGGTAGCTCAGATTAAACATGGTAGATGTGCTTTGCACAGGGAAGCAAGACAGCTTTGGGCAGTAATGAAAAAGTGACATCCCATTTGAAACATCCTTACTGATGACATCTAAGGGATTTCTGTGATAATTTGGTCTCTGAGGCATGTTACTGAACTTGAAAATAAATTTTGTTAAGATATTGTCTCCAAATATCAATCTGTGCTGATTGTACAGTATGGCCACAGCCAAATATATTTCAGGAAAAAAAGGACAAAGATTATTCTTATATTGTCTCTCTCTGTCACTAGTGATGGGATGCTTACATTTGTTCATAGTACCTGTAAAAACAGAACACAAATCAAACAATTAGAAAAATAAAAATTACTGATTTGCCTACAGATCATCAAATATCCTTTCTTTAAAAAGATTCAGATAAGTAGCATTACTGCTGCCAATATTAATTTATTCAAGAAAGTTTTTAAAATTATTTGGGCTGTCCCTGCTTTCTAACTCAAAGTTTGTTACATCAGTGGGTATAAATGTGTGATTTAGAGGATGCATATCTAGCAAGATAACAGAGAATTAGTTATTTCCTGCATAAAAATAGATTTAGATGCAAATATATTTTGTAACTACAGAGTAAATATGTGGACACTTTTTCCATTAGTTTCTTATTCAAGGAAAATCTGAGTATTCAAGAGAATTTAAGCCAGCCTGTGTGTCGTGGAGAAGGAGGCTGGAGTAAGACCAGAAATAATTCCACTGCCTGTCTTTAGCAAAGCTCAAGACCAGGTTTCTGACCTCACAGGTCAGGGGGAGAGGGTGAGCAAAATCAGTTCCATTATATGCAGTATATTCACACTGCATATTTTATAGATGTTAATGGCTTAGGCATTTTCTGCCCAGTCTTATCCTAAGAAATTGGCATAATAAAATGTTAGAAATGGTGAATAGTGCTAAACTGAACCCAAGCAAGCTTCAAATTCTTGTGTGTAAAATGTATCCAAACAGCCCAGGCCTGATAACCAAGACCATGTTTATCTATTAGGTGATAATGTTCATTACTTAAAATGTCAGAATCTGCTCCAGAGGTAACCTTGCTATCTGGCCTGAGAAAATTAGGAAATCATCTCAATGTGGACTCCTAACAATGAGGTCTCAGCATTTCACTGTAGGGTGAACTGTGAAAGCTTAACAAGGATATTTTCTTTTAGGTAATCTCATTTGTCATTCTCCATATGACATTTTAAAGATTTATTTAATGTAAACAACATGAATTTGATTTGTTACTGTAAATATCTAGACCTGAAATTCCTAGAAAAGCATTTCAAAATTTTAGATTTGCTTCAGTATTCATCATGGGAATTATATCCTCATAATTTCAGGAGATGGAATGCCATTAGGAAAAGCAGGTACTTTCATCAAGTTCATATTCTTTTCAGTTACAAGGCTATCCCTAAATTATACTTTTATTCCAGTGCTTTGTGTGTCCTCTTCCTGAATTAGCACCCTGCTAGCATGGGTACTATTTAAAATGTCACAAAAAGATGGCTCATGCCCCAGTATTTTACCCAGTGATCTGGTAAAGTATTTAATGAAGTTTGCTTCAGGTGGAGGAAAGAATGGAGTGAAAATTAAGTCTGGTTACAGAAGCAATTTGTGTTGGAGGTGGCAAGTTGTACAAACTCGCAATCCCTGTATTAAAAATTTCTCCCTCAGAGAACCTGCTGAGCATTCTTGAATTGTGAAATCATTCACGGGGCAATATTACTAGAAGAGAGCACATTGACGTGGTGTAGCATGAGTTGAGCAGAATTTTCCTTAACTGCATATAATCAAGTTACTGAGTGGAGCTTGAAATAGGTGCAGCAGTGTCCAGAGGTCAGTCTGAGTCCCCAGGCCAGGGCACTGCTGTGACTCCAGCCCAGGAGCTGGGCCCTCCATAGCCAGCTGCCCAAGAAGCTCAGTACTGGCTTGCAGGAGTTTCCACCAGCTTGGGGATAGCCAGCCTTAGTCATGTCAGGTGCTGAAGTCACGCCTTTATAAGAGATCTCCAAGGTTTCCTTCAGCTTTTTGATGCACTAATTCATTTTTATGGGGTTTATCTCTATTAGAGGAAGAAGAGAAGTGTGTGTGTAGCTGTAATGTAAATGAGCCATGGCAGAGCTCCAGTACAGTTGTGCCATGTGAAGGGGGAGACAGAACTGTGCTGGCACTAACTGGGAGCTTATATTCCTTCCCTGTTACCAGTGTGCTGGTGCTTTATGGGAGTCATAAATAGGATGCTTGAAATCCATCCTTTCTGGAGATCTTTGCAGCTGTTGAAAGAAGCAGCTTTTTCATTCTCATAGATCTCAGAATGCATAATTAGTTTAATAGAATCATAGAATGGTTTGAATTGGAAGGGACACTATATATCGTGGATCATCGATTACAGAACAGGCTCCTCTAGGTGGGTTTGGGGCGCCACCAAGTCCTTAGAGTTTTAAGTGTTGGTGCTCGTAGTTCTCAGGTGGATCGGGGTAAGCATCAAGATTTAGCACCAGGCATAGTGGGGTATCTAATCCCATTTTGGGCCCTGGCTTTCATGGAGTTCAATTAATCATTGCTCTAAGATCTTCTTTGCTGTGGAGGCCTTATTGGCATCTTGGGCTTGTGAGAGCTCAGTTGCTTTTTAATCTTAGCTGCTTGGATAACATGTGACCAATCTGCATGCCGTTATAAGGTTAATTTGGGTCTCCTGTAGGACCACGGTGGCTGGCAGAGGGTTTACCAACCCTAGACTTGCTATGGCTAAGTCAAGTTTACCCTTGTTGCAGCAGCCCTGCCCCAGGCAGGAGCCCTTGCTCTAGGCTGGGTTGCTCAGAGCCCCATTGTGCTGACCCACTCTTAAGGCAAGGGCAGCCTGGCCTTGAGCGCTTCCAGGGATGGGGCATCCACAGCTTCAATGGACAACTGGTTCAGTGCCTCATCTCCCTCACAGTAAAGAATTTCCTCCCAACAGATAATAAATCTGTCCTTTTTCAGTCTAAAGCCAGTCTCCCTTGTCTATCACTGTATGTCCTTGTAAAATGTCCCTCTCCAGCTTTCTTGCAGGCCGCTTTTCCCTTGTCTTACCTTCCCATACCTTTGCAATATGGGACTGTTAATTGAGAAGAGCTCTAATTCATATAGCATATGAGGAATTTTCCTCAGAGATGGAGAGAAGCACTGAATCTCTTTTCTGATCTTAGTCTGTGCCTGGAAAATCAGAGAAGTTACAATAATTTGCCTTGAATTAGTGCCTCTAGCAATAGAGGCAAAAGTTTTTCAGTACTTTTAATTTGATTCGTGACTTAATTCTGAATAGAATTTTCAAACAGATCTAAAATTTGTGAGAGATCTTTTTCTTAAAATGTCAATTAATTTTTCCACCTATCTCATATTAAATCTGTCCTCTTTAATTGCTACCATGTCTGTTGATTAAAATATTGCAAACTCACAGAGTTTTACATGCGCAACCTGCTTTATTCTCAGACAGGACAGAAAGTGCTTTAGTAAATATTCATAAGTACTGGTATAATTTTAACTGTCCCAGCAAACAATCTCTCTACCACTTCCTTTGGGAGTGTGTGTCATAATAAGGGTCATACTGGTTAAAAGTGAGCCTACACTTTCTGCAACAGGCATTTAGCAGGAAGTTAAAATAGAGTGTACTCTTCTGAAGGGTTACAACAACAAATAGTCTGGTCTCATTGAAAGAACAGAGAGGATTTTTATGTTTTATTTGGGTACCGGATTTTGCTTGATGTGTAGAGATTAACTTCTCTGAGCCTCAGTGAACTTATTTGTGAAACTAGGATGAAAATCACCCCAAGATCTGCACTGTAGCAACTTTATCAGCAAAAAGTGTCAGTTTTTAAGCCAACTGAAGATAATGAAATGATTTGAAGTTTGCATAGTTAGCCCAAAATGTAAAATAATCATTCCTCAAATAGGTAAATAAATTCAGATAAATTAATATTTTATTTTGTTTTAAAAAACAAACTAAATCACACTGGGCTTCAAACACATCACAACAAACCCCCTCAACCTTTCCACCTGTTTCCCACCCCCGATCCATAAGCATTCAAGTGGAACCTCCCTGCTGTTTAATGCATTGTGGATCCTGTTGTGGTTACAATCTGGAATTATTACTGTCTCATCAGACAGTAATAATTGGTTTTAGCATGTGTCAGCCTTTTCTTTCCCAAATTAAAGCAATCATCAATTAATTACATTTCCTGCAACTGTCATCCACCTTCATTACTTGTACCTGACACAAACATTTCTGAATCCTTGTTGATATTACTGCCTTTCAATAAGTCACCTTTTGAGACCCTTTTATGAATTTCAGTCTTTCATTCATTGCCATTTTGAGAGAAGCTCCCCAACTCAAATGTAAGGACAAACATTGCTGTGTGAAAACAAGTACACAGAAGACAGAATTGATTTTTTGTTTTGTAAGTAAGTACCAAATTGTAATACATAATTGGTGCATGATATTGATTTATTTAGCTAAGGATTTTACCCAAGGACTTTGACTGGAAGCAGATCTTTAACCTTTTAATCTGATAGATTTGTATAAATGCTGCAGAAGTTGCTACAGCTGGGTATTCTTCAGCTCTGCTAAAATATCTGAGACAGATTGTTGTGAGGTTTCTGGAGTTTGAGTAATTTACCAAAACAATGAGAGCCTAGGGTGCTTCACTTGTCATTGAGTGAGAAAATTCCACGTTGTCAGAAACTTTTTAAGGGAAAAGTCTGAACTTTGTGGCATTTCTTAGGTTGAAATGAATTTTTAATGATCCTAAAATGGTGTGATTATCTAAACAGAGCTAACTATTTTGGCTTTTGTGACTTGTACCATCTTATAAATGTACATGTCACATGCTAAAAAATCTTTTTCAGATATGTTTTACAATTATTATGGGCATTTAGGTGCACTATAAAATATATCTGTGTACTAAAAGAGGGAATATACCCAGTGTGAGAGATGCAGCAACACATCTTGAGCTGAAGGCTTTGTGTGGGTGGACTGGAGCCTGGTTAGAGGCGAAACCAAAGTTATGTCTCAAGCAAATGCTGCTGTCAAGACAGCATGCCCACAAAGTGTGTTCCCAAGTGTCGCAGAAAGAGGTCTGTGTCGGGGACGAGTCATTTGTCAGTGAGGGGAGACTCGGACACTCAATATGAGTGATAAGCAAGTTCCGTTTATTGAAGAGAGCATCAGACACTTATACAGCAAGCAATAAGCTTATGAATATTTTGTAAGCTAAGCAATCTATTGGTTAAACTATGCTATGAATTCTTCTTCATTCTTTAGGAGTTACATCTCTCTTTTTTCATGTCTCTTTCACTGTTTGTTATTTTACTACAGCTAAGCCCAAGGACATGCTATCTTGCAAGTGCAAGACTTAAAATTAACCACAACTTTGTAATTTTCCATTCTCTAACAACTAAATTCCCAACACCCAAGCTGTTCTGATTCAGAGGAGGGAGCTGCTTGGGATGTGTCTCTGAGTGATGTGTCTCTAATGGAGTGACACTGCAGCAACAGCTGCATTGCCCCACACCTATGGCAATGGGAGATTGCAGAAATGGGATTTTAGAGATGGGGGAGTTGTTCAGACAGCCCATAATAGCACCCTTGGTTGCATAGGAACCATTTTTCTATTCACAGAGAAGTCTATGGCCTGTCAAAAATGTTATGTATATCCCAGCGGGGAACAAATAACATTTGAATATCCTGCCTTTGAAGCAATGACTGTCCTTGAAAAACATGTCATGTATAAAAGAAGGTGAGAATAGGAAGTGTAGGCCATTGTTGGACTTGTTTTGAGACTGTTTGAGGTTGAATTGTGTATTTCAGAATGCACCTTTAGCTCATACAGCCACTGCTGAACATGGAGAGATATCAATCTAGGCTGGATAAATCCTCCAGTCAGGTGCCAAAAGTTTTAGAAAGGGGGCATGGATGCCAGATCTCCTGGGAATTTTAAACAAGCTCTTCCTTGATCTCTCAGCCTCAATTCTCAGAAGACTTTTGTTACTGATATTTCTCTTTTTTGGTATTTCAATTATCCATCTGACAAAACAGGAATGGTAATACTTTAATAACTTTGTGAATAGTAGAAGTTTTCAAAGCATATTGATAACTTCTAATGAAAGATACAAATATGAGATAATGAGTGTATATGGGATGGACTGTTATCTATTCTGTTACCATTTATGTGCCCTACTAATGAGAGGAGATAACATTCACTTTGATCTACAAAAGAAAAACCAGTTAATCTCTGGATAGAACTTTGATGCAACTGTTATTATAACACAGTTCTTGCCACTTCTAAGGAAAATCAAAGCTGCCTTTTGAAATAAAACATTACCTAAAAATTACATACTATGTGATGGACCTGTTATAAATTATCCCTAGCAGATGGTTATTATGGGGCAATTATATATTAAATGGCTGCAATCATACAGATTCTTCCATATAATTGGGATTTATCAATTTGGCCATCACTCATTAATTTTTAAGGTGAAGTTTCCACCATTGGGGTAAAATGTTTGGGGAGATATATCTGTAAGTGCTTTGTGGTACATCATATGTGTTTACATGTCTGATAAAAAATATTCCTGATTTAACAGGACTCTTGCCAATTACCTGGTATGGAGGATGGTTTATTCAAGGTTATTTAACCTCAGTAGACGCTTTCAGTATCGGTGGCTGGAATTTTCTCGGGTAAGTTATGCTTTCATAGCATTTACCAGGGTCCTAGTGATGACACTGTTGGTTTCCCTTATAGTTGCCTATACCTTTGCAAAACAAAAAATGTTTTCCATGCTGGATACATTTCTTGAATAAACTTTTTTTATTTTTGAAGACACCCTATAAAACAATTGATAAACATATTTTTTGTGTTTGACACTAAGACATTTATATGACACTAAAACAAAAAAAGTCTTTTAGATGATGTTAGAGAGGTTTTGAAACTTCCCCTTTAAAAAACTTAGTCTTCCTTGGCAGAAACTTGAATTAGGTTATGTGGGCTGTGACATTCAAGCCAAACCCTTTTGACCAAAATCTATACTTTTTGAAAACTACTGTTTGCCCATTTGTGAATACAGATGTACTAAACCAGAAGTCTAGGATTGTACTTTTTTAAAGCTTTCTCAGCACTCTCCCATGCTCTAATGCCATTGCAGGAGCTCAAGCACAAGGATACCCAGTCATTTCCACAGAGAAAATGATCAGGTGCCTTCCAGCTTAGGGTTGCAGAAGAACCAGAAAAATGCTAGAAGCTGTGAGAGCAGAACCAATTATCTGTTCAGTAATATAGGCATCTATGTAAAACACATACATTTGATTCAGTGAACCCTGAATAGAAATCCACCTTGGTAATTGTGTGGGCAGTGTTTCATCCAAGGATGAAACTGAAACTGAATGGTGTTTGGTCTTGTGTCTCAGCTTCTTTGGATGCTGAACTTTGTTTGCCATTATGAAAATTGGCGGACAACAAGTGGCTGGCATGGTGCAGGAGGTGTGGATGTTCTGTCCTCCCTGGTGAGCCATGCAGGTGACTAAATAATCTATACTGTTTTGCTTTGAGGAATACTGGAATAGTTCTGAGTTGATCACATACCTAGCAATAATCTCCAATAGCGTGATGGAAACTACATAGGAAAGGCAGCCTCTTGTACTTCTGAGATCATATTCAAAATAGTCTTGTTAAAGACGCTATTTTCTTAATGTAAAATATGAGAAATTGGCTGTCAGAATCACAGTGACAAGTTTGTAGGTGTTCCCTCCTGGGACATATCTTGCTAGTCAGGTAAAATACATTGATGCTGGCTATCAGCCAGTCTGTAGCATAATACTGAGTTACATTGAGTTATATAATGGCAGAAAAAATCCTGAAAGAAAACATTAAGCTTTGGGTACTGTGCATTTTAACATGGTAACTGGCTGCTGTCACATCTCTGGGACATAGAAGCTTAGAGAGAAATCGAATTCAAAGTGATTCAGTGCTTATTAATAATCTCATCAAGGCTGTCATAGAATTACAGAATGGGTCAGATTGGAAGGGACCACAGTGGGGTCATCTGGTCCAACCTCCCTCCCTGCTCAAGCAGGGCAATCCCAGAGCACAAGGCACAGGATTGTACCCAGGTGGTTCTTGAACATCTCCAGTGAAGGAGATTCCAAACTCTCTCTGGGCAATCTGTGCCAGTGCTTGTTCCCTGCAGAGGGAAGAAATCCTTCCTCATGTTCAGGTGGAGCCTCCTGTGCATCAATTTCTGCCTCTGGTCCTATTGCTCAGCATCACAGAAAAGAGCCTCCAAAAGGCTCCATCCTCTTGGCACCTCCCCTGCAGATACTTTTAAACAGTGATGGGATTCCCTCAGTTGTCTCTTCTCAAGGCTGAACAGGCCCAGCTCCCTCAGACTTTCCTCATAAGAGAGATGTTCCAGTCTCTTCATCCTTGTTTCCCTTCACTGGAGCTGCTCCAGGAAATCTCTGTCTGTCTTGTGCTGAGGAGCCCAGAGCTGGGCCCAGCCCTCCAGACAGGCCTCACTGGGCTGGGTGGAGGGGCAGGATCACCTCCCTGCCCTGCTGGCCCTGCTATCCCTAATGCACCCCAGGATCCCCTTGGCCCCAGGGCACTGCTGGCTCATGGACAGCTCATTGTCCATGGGACCCCCAGGCCCTTCTCTGCAGAGCTGCTTTCCAGCAGGGCACCCCCAGCCTGTGCTGCTGCCTGGGCTGGTCCTTCCCCAGTGCAGGGCCCTTCATTTGCCTTTTCTGAACTCCAGACCATTCCTCTGCCCCTCTCTCCAGCCTGTCAGGCCCTTCTGAAGGGCTGCCCAGCTCTGGGGGTATTGGCCACTCCTGCCAGCTCTGGGTCTGCAGGGAGCTCACTGAGGAGGCCTCTGCCCCTTCCTGCAAGTCACTGATGGATAAGTTAAACAATTCTGGCCATGTAAATGGGTGTAGATTTCACAGGTCAATAGAAAGGACATGAGGAATGGAGTCCAAGGCATTGCACTAGTCTATTGTTGAGTAAGATTTGTCTAGTCAGAGGATGGAGAACTAGTGGCACTTTAGGATCATAAAAAAGAACCACCAACCCCTCTGTCAGGTAAGAGAATAAAACATTGAATTACTACTAAAAAGATATGGCTATGAGATAAATCAGTGACCATTAAAGAAAAGAATGTATTTTATACATTCATTGTTTCATTAATTCAGTTAGCCTCAACCATCATAAGCAGCCTTTTTTTTCTCCAGTTTCTCACTTTCTATTGGTGGCTTTTATACCTTATGTGTAGAAGTCTTGGCACCAGGGCCTTAAAATCTTTGCAAGGAGAAAGAAAAATGCATGATGAGACTTTAAAAAAAACTTCAGGTTTAGAAATAGAACAAACCTGCTGACTCTAGAGAAAGTGCTTTGAGTACCCATACCAGCAACTATCAGCAGCTCCTCTGCAGTGGCACTTTGAGGCCTTGTAAATGTGCAGTGGCACCTGGGGAAGAGGTTGGTTAATTGTGTCGTGAAGCTCTGAATTGGCTGGGAGGGCTTGAAACCTGCTATTTATAGCCACTGTTACTACCTGAAGTACTGTGTTTTAGAGTGGTACATTAATATTAGGAGGACCATTTGAGGGAGTTCCTGTTGGCTGTTGTGACATAAATATCAATAAACCAGCTGTGGGATATAATCTATTCCTCTCAGCTCTATTTTTATTGGTCTCACAGCCTGTGCTGCCTTTATGTCCTCCTTACAGTCAAGCCTCCCTCAAAATAATGATAATTATTATGTTGTAATAATAGTATGCCACAGTCTAAAAGTCAGCTCTGTCTCCTGACTATTTCTATGGCTGATGCATACTCACAGCTTTTGGAAGGAATTTCAAGCTCTGATGACTAATACCATAGTTTCCTTCTTTCCCCTGTACCAGGAAAAAGCTCCATTGCAGGTTTACTCTGACCCTAGAGAGAAATTTTCTTCTCTTTTGTTCTTATCTTTTTTTGAGTGTTTTGTTGTGTTACGTATAAAGGTTGAAGAATTTGGAAAAGGAGTTGATTGCCAAATTTGGCTTTGTTTAGAAAAAAAAAACACCTTATTTTTTATTGGTTTGACTAATAGTGGTTCTTTTTAGAAGCAATGTACTCTTTGCCATCGAAAATCTCTTACTGCATATAGAGTATTAATAAAAAGCACTTGGAAATGCAATTCACTGGTGTATTTAAGTGTGAGTCATTGATTATGCCTAATTACAGACAATATGATAGGGAAAATCAATCTTTGAACTACCAAAATATCTCACCTTCAATAGCTGAGGGTTAAGCTGCTCTGGAATTTTCCAATGAAATATTTTCCTATTGGAAAAAGACAAATCCAAACCCTTAATTTTGCTGGACATTTAATCTTGTGCTCAAAGGAGGAGAATAATGGGAAAAAGGAAAGGGCTCAGAAACTGAAAAATTGGTGCTTAAAAGGCTTTTATAATCTGTGAGAGGCCAGAATCTCTATCCCACTTGCTCTGGTCTGATGCTGACTATAGTCTGCCCTTACACTGCTGTCAGGTGTTGGCTGCAAGACTGGAATTGTGCTTGTTCTCTGTGGAAAAGCTTAAGAAGTTGCTTAAGTGGGAAGGGAACACTTTGAACAATGAAAATAACAGAAGTTTCTTAAATCAGCACTGTTTATTGTGCATATGAGCTCATCTTCTATCTTGTGTGCAGGATTTATTTACACAAACTACATCTTGATGAGCAATATAATGTTAGCTAGGTAAGCACCCACAGTAATAAGATTGCTCCTGGGAGAAACAGAAACCAAGGCAGCAAATGTTCTTGAGTTCTGTTTTACCTTGTTCCTTGTTGTGTTGACCATTCTTGACTGTTTCTTTTGAAGCTCATTTATGGTGACATCATCAGAGCCTGAAAGTATGGATTTAATACCATTCCTTTAGTAAAGCATGCAAGTTGTTCTACAAATGTCTTTCTGCTGCTACATAGAGTGATTTTTAAATTTTTTTGGAGGGAGACAAACATATTCAGTGTTCTTGATGATTTAAACCTCTTTTCTCCTGAAAATGCTCCATTTGGAAAAGGAACTGAAAGCAATTTTACTACTTTACACAAACTACCGTAAAAGAAATTGGACAGGTAAATGACAAGAAGATGTGAACCTGTACCCATCTGTGTCAGATGTCATTAGTTCATGGCAGTGGAGGGCTCTGCAGGAGATGTTTCATAAGGACTAACCCAATTTTGATGAGGACAATATTCCTCGGCTTCTCACCCTGTCAGAGGAGAGGGAAATGTTTTCAGGAGATATCTCACAGCGGGTTTTTTCTGGAGGAAATTGTCTCTCACACAGAAAGAATACCAAGATTAGTCCAAAGTAAGCACTAATTCTCAAAGCCTAGTCCCTCTAAATCACTGCTATCATTGTACTGTTCTGAAGTTTAAAATCTTACAGGTATTTTGTGGCGTTCAAAATATTTGTCATAGCATTGGATGAAAATAGGAATGACTGTAGAGTATCATTATTTTTCCTTTTGGTGGCTTTTTGACAAATATGCTTTGGTGTGTACCTCGTGTGGATTCTTCTTAAACAGCACGATATTATGGCCTAATACTTGCCCCTGTCAACAGGTGATCCATGGGACTACAACTTTGCTGCCCCAGTGGGATAAATGTGTGGACCTTGTAGAAAATGCCCTCCCCTACGTTGTGGGTAAGATGTTTGTGAAAGCCCATTTTAAAGAAGACAAGAAAGAGATGGTGAGTCCTCTGCAGTCTCTGTCTGCAAATTTTCAATTAGTGGTTTCATCCTTACAAATTGCCTCTGATATTAGAACAGTTTAAAAAGAGATAAGATTTTTGAAAATGTTTTCATTGAATTTTAAACCTCCAAAACACTAGGAGAAAATTGAATGAATTTGAAGAAGTGTTACCTTTCTACCCACCTGTGCACTGCCCTTTCTTTCCATCTGCAGTCCTACAGACAAATAAGCAGTCAGTTCAAAAACAGATTGAACACTGTTAATTTATGTAAATAATGACAGCCAGGCTGTGCAGGACCAGAGTGAGGGGTATTGATGAGAAATAGTTTGGTATTGCTAATATAATTTATTATGGTAAAGTTTTCACTGACTAATCAAAAAACTGGTTGAGATTTCTCTGCTTTAGGATTGCTCTTTGAAAACTGTGGCTGCTACACAGTAGCAGTCTGTGTAATCTGAGCAAAAAACATGTGACTGGTATCTGGCCCAAATTAAGGGAAGCTGAGAGTCACATAGTGAGAGTTTATATCTGGGATTAAATCTAAATATATCTAAATAAATTTTATATCTAAAATTTTCAATATTCAAATAATTAATTACCCTTCACATAATTTATGACTTATTTTCAGTCCATGCTTTTCTTATAAAGTTTTCCAATATCTGCTCTTACAGCCATTGATTTTCCAGCAGTAATCACTTTTAAATTGACTGATTTAGTCATTGAACTTAGCTTTCCATGCAGGAGAGGCACAGCCATTGAGGAGACATGAGATGGGACCCTGTGCTGGGAGCAGCAGCTCTGTGGAAGCCCTGCACTGCCCTGGCTCAGTAGCCTGAGTTTGCCCCTTTGACCTTATCCCCTTGGACTGCTTTCACAGGGAAGGATCCCATTTTAGAAAGCACATGCTTATTTGACTCGTCCACATCTTTGTCATCTGTTTCCCTCTCAGGTTCTGCATTTCTTTTCATATTTGCCTTCAGCTGGAGTTTCCTCTCTGAGATCCAGTTTTTCCATCTCCTTGGAAAAACATCCAGTTTGTAATGTGCTATTTGGCCATTTTGTGGCAAAAATATGCCAGGCATATGCAGTATGTTATCCTGCACAGATAAGTGGGAAGAGTAGGAGTATAAGAAATGTACACTATATGGAGGGGATGGACACTTTTCATATTTGCATGTGTGAGGAAAAATTATGAGAAGCAGATAGAGCAGAGTTTCTCTTGAAATGCAAGTTAATTAGAATGTTTCTTAGTATGCATATTCCTTTTAGACCAAAGCTTTGGAAAATTATGAAGTCTGAATTCGCAGTAGCACCCATAGTGAGAAATGCATATAAAATTCATAGTGTAGGTCACAACATTCAGTCTTAAAATGAAAAACCCATGGAGATAAAATTACATACAGATGAAATTCGTTGCATTTCATTTAGAAGTGTACTTTTCAAGTTAATAATTTGTGGTGTTATCATTTTCATTTCAGTGGTTTTCACTTCTATTTCTCTTTCTTAAGCAGTAAGAATGCATGTGAGTAAAGCTCTCATTTGTACAGGTTTTTTTCTTTTTTTTTTTTCTGGCTTATGGCATATATCCGTCTATGATAAGCAAATCCTGACTTGCAGATAATACGGATTCTTTCCCCCCACCATGTTTTGTGATTGATGTTTCATACCTTAGATACTTCTTTTATCAAGAAAGACATTATTTGTGTCTAAATATAGCACTGCTTCTAACTCAGAGTGCCTGCAGTGTTTTTTACAGTTACGCCTGAGCAGTTTCAGTAATAACTTTGATAGCAGGAATAGGTTTCTGCCCCTGCCCCCTGCAGCTACAGCTGCTGCAGAAAGCTTAAGTATACACCAGGGCCCAGCTGCAGAGCTTGAGTTTGAACTTGTAACCTCCAAGTACAGGGAGTTCACCTCATTAGTGAGCAAAGTTAATTGAGTCAGTGCTCTGTCATCAATATCTTTAAGTTACCCAATTTCCTGGGATGCTGTTTACTGTGAATGTTTACTCTTTAGTCATAGTTAATGCTAGACCTGCTCTCGTTGACCCATATTGCCTCTAAAAATGAGAAAATGTTTTTTGAAAAGGGTAGGGGAAAAATGAATAATCCAAGGAACTTTGCTACATTTTTTTTCTCACTTCACCACAAATAAAGGACAGTTCCAGATTAAAATATTCGTCTGATACATTAATGGCAATTTAGCTAAAAGAAATGTTACTTTTGAGGGTTTAGTCCCTGCTTTTAATGACATTTCAGATCTACTAGATTTATAGAATAAGATTATACAAATCTCTGCTGCTTGACATTTTCATTATTTTCAAATGTAACATAACGTATAACACAAAGTTCCAATAAGTCTTCATCTAATGTGTATCTGTCATGTCTTGTGCTGTCTCAACTCTGGTTTGTGCTAAAGGACTCAGGCAGTGGCTGGATCCCTCTCATTGCCTCATTCTCACAGCATTCCCAGGGCTATTTGTTGTGGGATTCATCTGCTGACATAAATAGACAGCAGGTTGCATACACTTCTGGGCTGCCAGACAGATCCATAGGAATGAGGGCTCTTTAGACTCATATAATGCATATCTTAGCCATTATATTTCTTGTTTTTTGTCATTTCAGGGTTTTCTTAGTGTGCATGCTCACTGAACAGTCCTATTATTATTAATATTATTTACTTGCTTGGGATGCGGTCTTGGCTTTGCAGAGGTGTCTGAAGAAGCAGCTGAGGTGAAGTGGTTGTGGGCTTTCCCAGTTTTGCCCAGATCCAAGCTGTCATTTATGGTCCAGGACCACAGAAGCAGCTAAGGCTGCTCAGTGGTGTGAGCCAGGGTCTCCCTCCCTGCTGTAAGTAAAGGGTAGCAATGCTTCACAAATGCAGCTAAATACAGGCTAAATATTTGGATACTGCTTTGTATTTGGATCATGATGCTGTCAGCCCAAATTCAGTTCTCTGCCAGTATTAATAAGGCGTGTCTCTGTCTCACACAAACCAAACGAGGCCACAGGCATTCTGCAGAAAAGGCTTTATTTGTGCAAATGCCTTTCAGCTGTCTCCGTTTGCATGGGCCAGTGATGTAGAACCTAAGGCACAGAAATCTCCCCAAAGGACTGCAAATCTCTCAGTGTTTTTTATCATTTCACGATGGGTATTCTCACAAATATGACATGAAATGATCAGCAATGAACAGGGTGTGTGAAGCCATAAGGGAAAGAAGATGGAAAAAAACTTGCCTTCAGAAGAAGCGTGTTACTACTGGAGAAATCAGAAATTAGCCTTCAAGAAAGGAGAGCAGATACCATCTGATCTGCAATTATTTGTGGTCTGAACAAATTCTATCACTCCTATACACACCAAAACGTTCCTTACAATGATTCTGCCATGATATATTTTACTGGGGAGGGATTTACTAAATATTTTGCAGATGGAGGAATTGACTGAAGGAATTCGCTGGGCTTTTATTGACATGTTAGAAAAGGAGAATGACTGGATGGACTCTGAAACAAAAAGAAAAGCTCATGAGAAGGTAACAAATATAAATATTGAATATATACAATCCTGCTATGATAAAGATTTGACTTGAGTGATAACAGTATGCCATGCACTGTATTTGCAGTTCCAGTTACTGATAATTTTCTTTCTGAAGGGACACATTTGTTTTTCTGGATGAGGAGCCATCTGAGCTCCTGCTTCTCTGCTGAAGTTATTTTTGTTGCCTTATTCTTCTTTCCTTGCATCCACCTTTCCCTATCTGGCTCTGGCAGATGTAGACTATGAGCTTATTTCAGATTTGGCTTTTCTTGACAAAGTCTTCACCTTGACTGGAATCCCAGGGACACAGCAATCTACAGACAGAAAACAGTGCCTGAAACACCTGTGACAGCCAAGAGTATTTGCTGTGAAGAGGGAGGATCTAGCCTAGAAGGGGATATGAGAATAATTCAGGTTTCACAGTTTTTCCTGTGCTGTGGAGGGAGGTCTAAGTTGAGAGCTGTCTTTTGAGAGCATAATGGTGATCCCAGCTGAACATCCATTTCCTGGCAGAATAATGCCAGTTATGAAGTGTTATAATCAAGGATGGCATTAGTGGTCCTGATTGCTTTCAGATAAAGTCACAATAAAATGCAGGAGGCAAAGGTGAAGGCTGGAGGATGTACTCTAAACCTCCTTTTCACCCTGTTTCCACATTTACAGCATGTGATGAGTGGAAAGGAAGATTGTCCAGATGCAGAGCCCTGCCCCCAGAGCAGCAATTGGAGGGGGTGTATAAAAAGACAAGTGGAGGGTGTTGTGTAGGTCTGTGTCCTTATTTACCAAGGCAATGGGATATCAGTGAATTAGTAAGCACCCTCTTTGAATAAACTGACAGGCAAGTGCAGCTGAACTGTTCCTGCTCTCTGTGCTTGAATAAAAATAGCAGTGGTTTAATTTAAAAGCAAACATGGACTTCAAAATTTGTAGTAATTCTAATGAAAAGGCTGTTGAGGAATTTTATCATTGGAAAGATTTAAATTCCATGTGCAGTCCATTTGCATTTTATAAAGCAGTACTATTCATATATGTGCAAATGAAATTGAGCTGCATAAATGCACCAATAAACTCAATAACAGGAGAACAATAGCGAAATGACATTTATTTCCTGCTAACCTGGTGGTAAATGGGCTGCAGTTATTACTTCTTCCTGGCTGTTACACTTTTTTTGTTTTTGCTAGAAATACCATTAGAAATATAATAATCTGTAATTTAGATTTTTGGTAAAATTGATGCAAAATAAGAGCAGAATTATTTTGTAATGATTTCCTTAATAAAGATATTCCTATATAACAACATGCTTAGGTACTGTGTTCAAAATTTGCTACCTACCTTTCAGCAGGGAAATAATACAAACATTGCCAAAACCCAATGAACTCCTAAAAAAAGCTGTCCCTTTCCCATTTTAAGGAGGATTTTCATCAGAAGGTAGGCTAGATCTCTGGTAGGTAGAGATGGCTGTTTCCCTCTGTTGACAGATTTTGGAAGCACATGGCACTTTGCTCCCAATTTAGACATGTCATAGAAGGTTCTGAATTTAGGAGGGTGAGTCTGGGCTGAAAAATGCATGACAAACTAAATTCCATAAGTACAACAAAAATAATGCTAATACTACAAGCCATAGTACTATGAAATATATAGCCAATGATTCAAAACCATTCTCACTGAACTGAAAAACCATTTCATAGCTTGCTGACATAGGAACAAAGTCAAACTTGTAAGACACAAGTGTTATGTAATGCCTTAGATACTGCAGCAACAATTACGTGATACAACTTACGTCTACAAGTTTAAGTTCAGAAATAGCTGCTTGGCTGGAAGGAAAGAGCCTAGAGAGACATTTGGTAGATTTCCAGGCATGGAGTGTATGTTTATTAAATATTACTTATTGTTAATGATAGATCTTCTGTTTGTCCTGGAACTCTTAGATGAGCATGTTTTTAATTCAAGAAATAGATTCATTTCTAGGGTCAGATAATTCACAGGGGAAATCTAAGTTTTATAATACAGCAGAACCTTCAAAATCTGTTACACTGTTCTAATTAAATCTCATGAGCCTAGCACTTTCTGCTGTTACTTTTTCAATACTTAGGCTTTAATAAAGCAGCACAGACAAGCATGAATTTTATGAGGGAGATTGGTAGGTTAAAAAATTCCACTATTACTCTAATGTAGAGATTGTAAAAATTGCATTTCTTTGTCAATAAATATCCACATGCTGGACTCTGCACCCAGGATGGAGAAACACCAGGAACCAAATATAAATTAGGAGAGAGAGGGTGCAGGGCAACAGCTGGGGACTTGGAGGCTGTCTGGTTTGGAGAAAAGGAGGCTGAGGGGCCACCTCTACATCTTCCTGAAGTGGGGAAGTGGAGAGGGAGGTGCAGATCTCATCTCTCTCCCTGGGGTCCAGTGACAGCATGTGCTGCACCCAGTTTGGACAGTTCAAAGCTACTTCATCAGGAGTGGTTGTACTGGACATTAGGAATCTTATTTTTACCAAGTGGGTGGTCAACCACTGGAATAGACTTCCTGGAGACGTGGTTGTTGGCCCAAACCTGTGTTTGAGAAGAATTTGGACAGTGCCCTTAACACTGTGCTTTAACTTCTGGTCACCCTGAGGTGGTCTGGCTGTTGGACAAGATGTTCTTCCTTCCAACCAAAATGTTCTAATTCTATTCTATCAATTAAGTAAAGAAAGGATGCTATTATTTAGGTTAAGGGTGTTTTGGTTATTTACGTTTTCATCACTAACTGTCACATTGTCCCTTGTAGCAGTGCAGATTGGAGGTTCTGCTCTAAGTTCCATGGCAGAACTGTATTCTACATGGAAATCACTGATTCAGTTATTTTGCTCATCCTCTGTATTTTTAATCACATTTCATTTTTGAAATGTTCAAATGCTCTGAAAAGAAATTAACTGTAGAAACCTGATGGTGGTTTTGTTTACTCTGCCCACTCCATGTGATCTGTTTAATTTCCTTTAGTTTTTCTTTAATTCCAGGCATATTTGTGTCATTAACAATTTTTTTACTCATTTCCTGAAAGAAGAAGAGGGTCAGTATGGGATCTTGGTGTCTGGACAATGAGCATAGAGAGCCTTGTGGTGATTGTATCTTTAGATGACAACATTGTAATGTAAAGGACATGGCAGGTTTGAAAGAGAATTAATTGCAAATCCTCTCTGTGATTCAGATACTCACTGCTTCCTGTTTTCTGACTGATGCCCTCCTTTCTTTTGTGCTTGGCTGAGGCCAAATTTGTAAACCTTGCTGTTAGCCTGATGCTTTGCAATCAAAGGAACCATCGACCTCCAAAAGACTTACAAAGGACCCTCTGGTAGAAACTATTGGTGAATTTTGCTTTAGGCAGCTTGTCAGCTCTATCTATCCACTCCATCTGTGACTCTTTGTGTCTGTCCTGTTGTTTTATGTTACTCAGAGGGGACACTACTAATTTGATGTTAAAAGGATCAAATCTACTACTCCATGTGACACAGGGAACAATTGTCTTGCAGCCTTGATATCTGAGAATAATCTCTTCAGCTGTTGTATAGTTTGGAGTTAAGATTTGACATTCCTTTTGTAACAAAACAATATCATGAGATAGCATCTAATAATTTACCTCTCTTCTCCTTCCATTCCTTTCTTTCTGTGATCGAAAGATGAATTTAAACCAGACCATCTAAAAGCCAATCTCACAGAAAAGGTTTCTAAGAGGGTGAGGTGGCTCTGCCTTCACGTGCAGTTCTCACCTGGCTCTCTGGATGGAGCTCACGCTGCTTCCAAAGGAGCTCGGATTCTGAGAGAAGCGCTCAGCTCTGGGCTGTGCTGCTGTTTTCTCTCCTGTCCTTACTCCTCTATTCAACCCCTTTTTTTTGTACCGTATTTGACTGTCATCTCAAATTTGCTTCAAGTATGTCTGTTAACCCCCCGAATTTTCAGTGGAATGGTCTGATAAACAAACAAACAAACAAACACCCCAAACAGGTTTCTGTTCTCGCCCTTTTAGTGTCCCTCATTACATTTCGCCCTCATTTGCAGAACAGAGAAATTATTCAACTGGGTGCAGCTCCAAGAGCGTCTCTGGCAAGCTCTTCAAAGGCATGTTCTGTGAATTACCCATGGCCACGTCACAGCCTCTGCAGGGATGGAGGAGAGAAGGGACACCCTTTGTTTTCCCTTACAGTGAAGGTGCAGAATGCAGCCAGCCATGGTGGCTGAATGCTATTGACATCTGTGTTTTGGCATGGTGTGCCACAGGGGAAAGGGGGAACCCACAACTGAAACTCCATTGATGGAACTTGTGTGATGAGGGCTCACTTCTTTAAAATGGTAATTTATTGCTTCTGTTCTTCAAAGGATAATTCAATGGAAGATCATCACTGACATATTAAATTATTCCCACTCCCGGGCAGGAACCATTATTTTATTAATCACTATTTTTCCTTCCTAAAATGTCCTTTGTTCTTGGGTTTAACTGGAGGCTTGACAAAAGACGTTTTTCTTAAATTCTCCAAGTCTCTTGTAAAAGATCCTCTTAGGCTATGGCACAGGAACAACTTCCTATTTGGAAGTTAGTTCTTTTGCTTTGCAGTACTATTTTTAAAGCATGGACTATAAGCCCAAAAAGAGCTTGTTTTTCCTCTAGTAAGATTTTTCTGTAACGTTATTAACCTCCTTAAGTCATGGAGCACAAATCCCAAGGTCACTGTGCAATCATTTGGCTTCTGAACTTGCCTGCTGCTTTGCTTTATTTCTAAGTTGTATATGCAACATTTGTTTTCTCCACATCTCTGAGTCTGAAGACTGAGTCAAGAGCAGCACAGGAAAACATCAGAACCGTGCCTAGCTATAGGTGGCTCTCTTGGGCAGTGTTAGGTACCTTTGTTTACCCTACACGGCTTGTTCTGCTTCTTCAGAGAACTACAAAGCTCCCTAGACAACACAGTGTAATTTGGGCCTTAGGAAATCAAGGGCCATCTGTACAAGCCCT